ATCCTTATCCTTTGTCTCTTCCTTCCTCTCCCTGCTTGTGCTGCCGTATCCTCTTCCTCCTCCCCCTGCCTCCTCCGCCTCCTCCCTTCCTCTTCTCTTCGTCCGAGTCCTCCTCTCCCGCCGCCTGGCAAGGCAGACGCTCATCGGCTTCTCTGGAGCCCTCGCCAAGCCATCCTCGACCAAGAGAGCGAAGTTCACAACAACGACAAAGGCCTAGCGCGCACCATACGCGTTTCACACGTCCTGATGGAATGGGGATATTGCTGGGCTCTCTTGTGGACGTCTTGGGGTCGTTTTGACGGCATGTTGGAGCCTCTGAGACCCTCCTCGCCCATCTTGGCACTCGCATGGGAGGTATGGAGAGCTGTTGGAGCTTCTGACGCGTCCCGCGTTCGGTGTTGTGGTGGCAAGATCGTCGTCGCGCGCGCAGCGGCGTGATTGATTGGGGGAGGGCGCGGCGAGCTCGCGCGAGAGCCTATGTTCCTACGCTCCCTTGTAGCCCAATTGGGCTAGCCAAATCCACTTCCGCGTCTGCTGGTCAGGGAAACTGTTGCCAGAATCCGCAGCGTGTTCCGAAAACAATGTCCTGGTTCCTCCCGATACGCGCGCTGGAAGAATCTGGACAGCTCCTAGACAGCGTCTTCTACGCTCGCGGGCAGTTCCCAGGCAGGTCCTCGCAAGTTCCTAGGCAGTGCTTCCTAGGATCGCGCCCAACTCCTAGGCAGATCCCCGCTAGCCGCTAGCTCCCAGGCAGCGCTTCCTGGGCCCGCGCGCAGCTCGCAGGCAACTCCTGGGCAGGCCTTGGAAGCTCGCTTGAAGGCGTCGTAGCAGCTCCAAAAGCTCACTTCACGGCCCTGCGCCCGCGTGCGCACAGGGCCGCGCAAGGCTGCGCACGTCCGCGCAAGGTCCACGAAAGGCTGGCCAGGGTCCTGTCCGCGCCTGCCTGGGCCACCATGCAGCCGCGCTTGCACGCGCCGGCGCCCGCGAACCCGCGCGCTCGCGCGCCGCCGCCCGCGCGCCGCCGTGCGCTGGCGCGCCCGCGCCCCCACGCGCCCGTCGTCCGCGCCTGCGCGCCCACGGTCTGTCGCTTGCAGTCGTCCATGTTTCCAGTGTGTCCTAGACTACAAAGAGTGCTGGAACCTATATGGTGGAAGCTACATGGTTCAATGTATGTTTTTTCCCATCGGGGCTCAGGAGGCTCCAGGAGGCCCCAGTGGAAGGCGGTCAACTCCTTGGTCGAGCAGTCCGAACTCGGCCGTGGCAAGGGGGGGGGGCCCACGGTCCGAGGGGAGCTCCCTCCTGCCGCGTGGCGTGCCTGGCATCCACGGCGGCAGCGCTCCCCCCCGCGGAGCCCCCGCCCTCGCCAACTGTCGAGAGGCCCAGGCAGGAGAGTCGCACCAGACCTCGGCGAGACAGGGGTGCCTGTGGGCCGTGACGCGGAGCCTGGTCACAAAGACAAGCTCAGCTGGGCAGAACGCCCGAGACGACGGCATTCAAGCGGGCAAGAACGCCTCTATGCATGCATATGTTAGTTGTTTATCTGGGACAGCTTAGACCAAACCACCGTGCAAACACGATGTCTCCTTGCTTGCATTCGGAGACGTGCTTCAAATTGCTGGGACGGGGGGCCAGGCAAGTTGAGTCGGACGGAGGAGTGCATGCTGAGAAAAGCATCACAAAGCATGGAGCTTAAAAGACACTGATCAGGGTCCATCCCACGAAAAAGGAGGAAGGGGAGAAGCCAGGGCGAACCCTCAGGAGACCCAGCCGACCTCGGAGCCCAAGAACACATCCACTGAGAGAATAGTAGTTGAAGCCTAGGACAAACCAGATGGTGAACCATATCATCTAAATCAGGGAGATGGGACGAGGAGGCAGGACATCCAAGGATACAACCTCTGGGGGCGGCATGAAAACGAGCACTCGTACAAACACATCTGGACAGCATCCGAATAATGGCCAGCGGCAAATACATACTAGACCTCTTAGCCAATGACTTAACCAGGCAGCAAACATAAGTAATGTGCTCAATAGAGACCCCAGGGATCCAAACACACGCACGACGAAAAAGAGCTTCCTGAGGGGGGACGGCGGGTTGGTGATAGCGGCTCAGTGCCTTCATATATTGCTTCTGGATATCTTTACGCTCATAATGAATACCGAGGCCGCGCGATTGAATCGTGTCTTGAAGCTCGAAAAGGTTCGTGAGGAAACTGTTCACTAGCCAGCCCCGCCTCTGCCGATACGGGCAACAGTCATCATCCAGAAAAATGCGTGATACAAATTCGCGAATTCGAGGAAGCTCATCGCACCCAGCAATATATCTGGCCCGCGATGCATCAGCTACCAAAGAGAGCCGCGGAAACTCCACTGGAAGGCTGAGCGCACACAGGTTCGTGCACATATCGTACGAGATGGCATTGTTCGGGCCGGCGGTGAGGAGACGAACACAAGACTGATATACCTTATCCAGAGCAGGGGTAAGACAGTGAAGCTGGAGAACAAAATACACCAGAGATACACAGAACGTTTTGAAAAGCATGATTGATTGAGCCAGCCCAAGACCGAGGTCACGGATTTCACGGGCACGCTTTTTCAATTTGACCGCCGCCTCCAGAAGGGCAACTTCATCGGCCCCAGATCCGATCCATACCCCTAGGTACTTCAGTCGCCTGGTGATTTCCATAGCGTCAAGAGGGTGCCCGAGGTCAACCAGGAAATCCTGAAGGGGTTCATGAAGACGGTCATATACGATGACGATCTGGCACTTCGGAAAGTTTAGTGCCAGCCCTATTGCACAATCCAGGAGCCCCAAGCATTCAAAGAGTGGCCCAAGGCCATCAAATAGGCAGCGCAATCCAAAACAGAAGTCGTCAGCATAGGCGAGCGTGAGGGTTAAGTGCATGGGAAACCTCGACTGCAACCATGCCAGAACAGGTTCGACTGCGAAAATAAATAGGAACATCGAGCTCGGGTCTCCTTGTCGAACCCCACGCTCAATGGGGAACTCACCAAAGGTCCTCCCAAAAGGTAAAGAACAGCAGAGTTATCCTTATAGAGGGCCCGGAAGAAACATATATATATATATATATATATATACCAGAGGGACGCCCATGGAGCGTAGAACCTGCAGCACCCAGGAGACCTTGATGGAGGGGAAGGCGGAAGCGAAATCCGTCAGGACCAGCCCAGTCGTGCACCTATCACGGAGGTGTTGTCCCAGCAAGAAAGCTTCAGCCTCCATCACATTCGCCAGCATGTCTCTACCACAGAAGCACTTCTGAGGAGACCGGAGCAAACAATGTCTAGCTACTTTGCGGGTAAGAAGCACCGCCATCGATGCCGAGAGCAACTTCGCATCAGTATTTGTCATACTGAGGGGACGCGTGCATGCAGGTTTCCGGAGTACCCCTTCCCCCACCTCCTGGTCCGTGATCTTTTTCGGAAGAAACACCATCAAACACCGTTTCATATCGTTGGGGATACCAGCATGCGGGTCCCGAAACAAAGCTTGGTAGCATTCGTATAGCACCTCACCAGCAGCACGGGCCCTCCAGGCCGAGTAAGGTATCCCATCCTCCCCACGCATGCTATCCCTCCTCCCCTCAATCATCGTGCACCAATCGACCTCATTCATCATCCACTCGTGCTCAATCATGCAATCCACATCTGCCTCCTCAGGCACATCAGGCAATTTCTGGATAAACTGCAACAACTCGGGCCAGAGGGACTCATCGTCCGCGGTGCCCGCAAACACAGAACTCCAATGGTCCTGAAGGGTTTGGGCGGCCTCCTCTTCGGTACGGCTAGAAACACCTGTGGGTGAAAGGGTCCCCTGGAGCCACGTCCGTCTCTTCATCTTCCGCCAGAGTTCCTTCCGAGCAGCCAGCTTCCGCCGAGCATTCTCCTCGCCCTCGGCCTGACTGACCCCAGGGGGACGGGACGTCGCAGAACTATCCGTGGGTGACGGGTTAGCTTCCCTGTCCTGATTAAGCTCATTCTCAGCCTCGTCCAGAAGAAGGTTGTGAAGACCCTGAACGTGAAGACAAAGAGGCCCGCTCCGTGCGTCACGGAGGCCAGCAGGAAAGTGCTGGGCAAGAGCAGGGTAAGCAGCGATCGCGGCATTGAGAAGAAAGCTGTCACCTGACCGCCATGCACGCAATGCCTGCATGGCACGATAGTGTTTGGCCTCTGTCGTATCAGCAGCCTTCAGGTTGACAATTCGTGGCGCAAGCTACGTGGCGCACCCAGCACACAAGGCGGCCACGAATCGGCCACGGGCAGCCACCAACCCGGCACCTGGCGACCCCCCCCCTTTCCCCCTCCCCCTCCTGTTGCTGCCAGGCACTCGGAGGCCACAATTGCTCACAGGATTGCACTCGTTAGAGAAGCCTTCCTGCCGTGAGCGACTCGGGGAGAGCGCCGAGGGGGAGCGCTAAAAAACAGTTTCGGTGCGGTCATGCGGCGACCTTTCTCGCGCGAGGTCTGGGGCAGCGCCGAGGGGGGGGGTGGGGCGATTTCAACAAAAATAACAATTGAAAACAGGAACCCCAAGCCAGGGGGGGTGGGGGGATGTTTTCCCAGCCGCAAACTGACACATTCGAGAAAAAATCAAAAGCCTCCCCCTGCACGCCCGCCCCAATGACGACGAAAACGACGACGGCGACGACAACAACAACGACAGCGACGACTTGCCACGAAGAAAAACGAAGACGACCGACAACCGACGAAGAACTCGACGACGAGGACAGACGCTGACAATCACGACGACGAACGACGGAGACGGGCGACGACGACAACAACAACGACGACGGACGCCAACGACGACGACTGAAGGCGACAATTACGGCGACGACGACGACGACGGAATAAGGCAACTACGACGACGAACGACGACGACGACGATGAAAGACGGCGACGACGGCGATGGCAACTACGACGACGACGAACAACGACGACGACCTCGACGGCGACGGCGAAGGCGGCGGAGGCCCTGGCGCCTTGTCCATCGGGAAAAGCGCGGTGGCGGCCTGGGCCAGCTGCTCGAAGAAGGCGTGGGAGGAGGCGTAGCCGGGCTGGCGGGGCGCGATTTGTTCTGAGGATCCCTGCCAGTCGGGCTTGGGGGCTTGTTCAAAGAGAACGCGTTTCGCCACTAAGGGAACGGCTTCCCCACAAAATGTGCCGTGTGAAGCGGTACTTGACAGGATCATGCAGATGCAAGGGAAGGCAGAAGCGGACAGATCGTGTCTTCCTATCAGCGAGTGCCAGCAGCAAATCGGCTGGCGGAGACTCGGAGGAGGGCCAGTCGAGACAACGGCGGCCCTCCCGGGTGTGTTTCGTCCCTCTGGGCCTTCCCGAGGCTTCATCCGCCTCGAGAAACGGGCCAGGATAGACCCTGGGAGGGTTTCAAGAGGATTTGGGCAGTGGGATCGCCACCGTTGTCTCAACTGGCCTTCCTCCGAAGAGGGCCCACATCCCCGTCGTCCTCGTTGTCAGCGTCGTCCTCATCTCGGGGCGGACACAAATGGGGGATAGCACAAGGCGGATTAGCGAATCTCGTTTCCACAGCGCCGGAGCCGCCTATGACTATCCAGAAAATGCGCCCGGGGGCGGAGCCGAAACCAGCTTCATGTGGCAATTTTCGTAGCCAACCCTTTCCGTAACCTCCTTTCGTCCGACCCGACCCGCGTCCCCGTCGTCCTCGTCGTCGGGGTTAGGAGGGACAGAAAACGACATGGGCACAAACTTTCGGAGGTCCAACAGCTGATTTGTGCTTATGCAGTTGATTGCTCTTCGAAGGGTGGGCCAAGGGGGGAGTAGCACAGGGGGGACGTAGCGAATCGGCTGCATGCTTACCAGCCTTTTATCATCCCTATCCCCATGATCGGCATCACCTCATCCCAGTGCCAGCTCGAGGCTAGTTACATGCAGCTGGTTTCCACGGGACCTTCCAGCGCCAGGGGCCACCATGTATGAAGATAGTACCCTGCCGAGGGCCAGCGGCTGCGAGGATCCTCGTCCTGGTCATCGTGGTCTTCCGTGGTCGCCCATGGTCATCGTCGTCCGCACTATCGTCCTCCACATGATTATCCTTCATCCCCCTAGTTGTCGCGGACTGTCGTCGTCCGTCGTCATCGCCGTCCTCGGTGTCGTCGTGTGTCCTCGTTGTCGTCTGTCGCGGTCCGTCGTCGTCGGCGTCGTCGATCGATCACCGAGGTTCAAATACCGAGGTTCTTGCATGTCTGCCGCCGCTCCTGGGCCTCCAGGGCTCCCAGGGGGGTTCTGCGAGGGACCTCCGCGGCGCCCTCTCCAGTGTTTTGGTCTTGGGTCCACGGCCGGGCGCGGCCTGCAAAAAATGGCCACGGTCGTGTCCTGGAGAGGTTCGGGGTCCGATCTTGGTCGGCGGCGCACAGAGGACCGGCGCATGCCGCGAGGCCCAGACCTCCGAAGACTCGATAGCTCCGAGCATCGGACCCGGGCCGTTCTGGGGCCATCTTGGAGGCCTCTTGGGCGATCTTGGGGCGATCTTTTGGGGCTCTTGGGCCGTCTCGTGCCGTCGGAGGACCAAAGAGAAGCAAATGCCAAAATCCTGCACGAACCAAAGGAAAATCAATGATGCTGGCCTCTTCGGGCCTTCGTGGAGGACCTCTTGGAGGCCTCTTGGGCCGTCTTAGAGGCCTCTTGGGGGCATCTTGGGCCGTCTTGGGCCATCTTGAGGCCATCTTGGACCATGTTGGAGACTTATTGGGCCGACTTGGAGGCGTCTTGGACCCTCTTGGGCCGTCTTGGAAGTCATATTGGACCATCTTGGGCGAACTTAGAGGCCATCTCGGGCCATCTAAGCCGTCTTGGAGGCCATCTTGGGCCATCTTGGGCCATCTTGGATCGAGAAGGGCATGGACAGACAGATGTTCGGCGGCTTTCTGGGTGGCTGGCGCGCTGGGCTGGAGCCCCAGGGGAGCTGTGTTTAATAAGAAATCGGTAGGGTCTACCACGCCAGGCAACCCTGTGACAAGACCCGGATCCATACCCTTCGGCCCATACCGCCACTGTGCCTGAGTTTTGGGCCAGAGACTTCTTGACTAACTGTATTCCAGGGTATCTTGGCATGGTTCTCGGGCGCCTCTTGAACCCTTTTTGAAGCATCTTCGGTCCTCTTTAGGGTCTTCCGTGGGCCTCTTCGGGGACCTCTTGGGCCCCTTGGAGGCCTCTTGGGGGCCTGCTGTCGGTCTCGGGATTCCAATTGGGGCGGAGGGCTCAAAATATCAATTGAAGTTGCCCCTCTTGGGGCCCTCTTGGGCCGTCTTGGGCGCCTATTGGACCGTCTTGGGGCTCCATTAGGCCGTCTTGCGGCGCTCTTGGTGGCCTTGGGGGCCTCTTGAGCCACGTTGGACACTGATAACATCCAGAGGGCGAACATGCTAAAAATGTACGTTTCTCGGGGGAATGGGGTAATTCTGGCCTCCAAGGGCGCTCTTGGTGAGCCTTCTCGGGGCGTCTTGGGGGCATTCTGGGCCATCTTGAAACAATCTTGGGGCGTGCTCGGCCCTGTTGGGCCACTCTGGTCGCTTTTGTATGCCCTCCACAACTGCTGTGGGCCGCCCGAGGGAAGCCCAGCAGGCCCTGCAGGGGGTCCAAATTTCCAGTTCCGCGGGGAGGGGGGGGGGGGAATCCGAGAGGATGTCCCGGCCTGGGGCCAGGCCCCTGGTACTCCGGAGTAGAGAGAGAGAGAGAGAGCGCGCGCGGGTGGCGCGCTGCTCCTCGCTGCCTGCTGCCCTGCCCCCCCTGCTCTCCTCTGTGAGTTCGTGCCGCGACGACTCGTTGCGCTGGCCTCTGACACGGCGCTGGCTTCTGATGCTGGCGTCCGTTACAACGGGGGGGCAATAAACTCGGGGTCAAATAAATCACCAGCGGCCCGCGGCGCCCCCTTGGGGCAACTCTCCTGCGATCGTCGATCCCCCCACGTTTACTGCCCACCCCCCCGCTGCCGTCCGCCTTGAACGACCGCGTACTTCCGGTGGCGCAGCTCGTTCGATGTCGGCCGACTCTGGGCCTCTGGCGGTGCTCAGCATTGAACGCCCGAGCTGTGGTCGCCGCAACGTCGACGAACACACAAACCCACCGTGATGCCCAGCCCTTTGGGGCATCTCCCCTTGTGGTCGCCGACGGGTCGGAACGGCGCGAAACTGCCGAATGTCCTCAGCTTCTCCCTATGATGCCTCTTTCCATTCTCCAGATCTCTCGCTTGCCCTCCCCCCCTCCACCCCTCCAGGCCTCGCTCTTCGTGTTCACGTGCCCGCCCTCCACAACGAGGCGGCCGTGCTTCTCCAGGAGCTTGGAAACTATCGCCTCCTCGGGCCGCTGAAACGGGAGCTGGCGCGGAGAACCTCCATTACACCTCCTCCTTCCTTTGTCTTTTTCCTCCTCTCCTCTCCTCTCCTCTCCTCTCCATTCATTTTCTTATGAAGAACTCCTCCGTCGCACCTCGAGGCCAAATAAGAGGGCGAGCCGGGCGTTTCGCCTGAGACTCCCTTACCCTTAGTGAGCCTGGGACAAAAAAAAACTGGAAACAGTTTCACAAATGGAGGGCGGGTCGCTTCCAAAACGTAGCGCCACGCACACTCGTCTTCAAAGCTGCAAGAGCTTCACGGTTTGAGGACGGGTAGTTTACACAGTGTGGCTCTCGCCTTAGCACCGCGCGCAGTCGTCGAACAAACTTGCAAGAGCTTCACGGATTGAAGGCGGGTAACTTTCAAAATGTGGCTCTCGCTGTGAAGCCGCGCGCATTATTTGCAGGAGTGCGCAACGAGTTTCACGGTTTGAGGGCGGGTGATTTCCACAATGCGGCTGTCGCCTTAGCGCCGCGTACATTCGTTTTGAAGTTGCAAGACTTTCAGCGGTTCTCACGGTTAACGTACCGGATCTTGTGTCGTCGAACGATTCAAGATTATCCGGGCGCAACAGTTACGTATATTCGCGGTGTGAAGTCTCAGGAATGGTGCTCTAAGGCGATTCAGGATCGTCAAGACGCCACAGTCAGATTGACTCGTGATGTTGAAATCCTGAGAACGGTGTTCTAACACGCTTCAGGATTTTCACACGGTTGCCCCCCCAACGGGGCAAGTCCCTCAATGGAAATGAGCGTTTGAGGGGGCCTACGAAGAGGGAGCTTGAGGGAGGGTGTATTCCAACATCGCTGATGAGTCTTAGGTTTACACTGGTCTTCCTCCTCATCCTCCTCCTCCTCATCCTCCTGCTCCTCCTGCCCCTCCTCCTCCCATCGCCTTCCTCCTCATGCTCCTCGTCATCCTCATCATCCTTCTCCATTATTCGTTTTATAAACAACTTCTCCCCGTCGCACCCCCAAACGTGTAGGTACGGTGGGCCGGGCGTTTTGCCTGAGACTTCTTCACCACTCCTGACCGTGAAGCCTGAAACTTGCAACAGCCTCACGGAAGGAGGGCGGGCCGTTTGCAAAATGTGGTTCTCGCCACAGCGCCGCGCGCATTCGCCTTTGAAGTGCGCAACAGACTCACGGAGAAAGGGTAACGTGCTTTGTTCAAAATGTTGGCTCTCGCCTTAACACCGCGCACATTCGTTTTGAAAGTTTGCAGCAGGCTCATGGATTCGCATGGTCGAAAGCCCTGAAATGGCTGCCTGCCCAGATTTAACACTGTCAGAACCCAACTGTCATGTTGATCCGCGGCGTTGGCCTCCCATGAGTGGTGTCTTAATACGGTTTAGGATTGTCAGCACGCAATAGTCATGTGGCCTCGCGACACTGTCCCAGGAATGGTGTTTTGGCACCATTGAGGATTCTCATACGTGTGGCTTCCAATTTCCCGCAGTGTAAACAAGTTCCTGTAGGGGCCTATGAAGAAGGAACTTGGAGGGACGGTTAAGGCTCCAAGAGCGGGCCCAGACGAGGGGCCCTAACGGACATGTCGAGCTCCGGGCGCAGCGAGGTCCCCTGGAGGCCCCGAGAGGCCAAAAAAACACCCCAGAGGCCCCCGAGGGGCCCAAAGAGACCCTCAAGAGGCCCCCAAGAGGCCGCCGTACCGCCCCAAGGGGCGTCAGGCATAACGCCAAGAGGCCCAGAAAGAGGCCTCCTACCGTTTCATCTACCTTTCCTTGTTTCTTCCCTCTCTTCGTACTCCCCTCTCTGCCCCAGAGAGGCCTCCCAGAAGACCCCAAGCGACCCCCAAAGAGGCGCATTGTCCATGACCAGTTTCGCCCCAATTTGACACAAAAAGCTGTCCAGAGACATCCTCCTCCTCATCATCATCATCCCCCCCTCTTCCTCCTCCTCCTCGTCCTCCTCCTTCACCTTTTCGCTCGCCACGACCATACAAGCAGATAGCACCAATGATGCAAGATGGGCCGACGGAATGAGCGGAGTGATTCAATAAATTCCTGTAGGGCCCTATGAAGAGAGAACTTGGAGGGATGGTTTATTGCAGCAAGGTTGCGACTCGGGGCGAGGGGAGGGCGCGTTATTGTTCACCTATGAATACGAATCGATGCGGAAACTGCGCAAGTGTCTTTGAGGTGAGCGCACCAACCGTCCATTCTGGATGTTGGCGTCAAGGCTTAAATCTTGCGAGAGGAGCGTCCGTAATGACTTTGTTCATGCCTCATTATCACCCCTTCCATTAGTCTCATCATATCCGCCTCCACCCCACCCGACGCTCCCAACCCAGCCCTAATCCCACCAGCCCTCTGGGCGACAGGTGGTCTGAGGGTGATCTCTGTTTTCTTCCACAACCCCTCTTCCCTTCGGGAAGGGAACACTCCCCCTCCCCTCCCTAGTGTTTGTGGGAAGGGGGGGCGCTGTGTCAGAGGGTCCTTGTTC